TCATCTCAGGCCATCTGAAATAATTTGGCTCTTGGGGGGAAGAAGGGGGCTCTGGTAGCCCCAAAACCCCTGGCCTCAAGGGGCTTTGACCCTACGGACCTCGCCTTGGAGAGACAACACTAATTTTTGGCCCCTTCCTCAGGCAATTTCAATATACGCCCCTATCCCGTTTGACCTGACTTAGTTTTTGATTTGGGTATATCCACCCGACAAGATTTTGACGAATGGTGATGACGTCACATATAGTTTTGTGTATTCATGTTTTATGATGAAGGATATGTCATTATTTGACCCGGTATGACCGAATTGTCAACATTTGTTATGAATCTATGCCCATGTCTGACGTATGGCCATTTTTTTGGACCGTATTTTACTTAAAGGGGAGGTGTGCACGGGCTTCAAAATAAGAAGATCTACTTTTAACTTTAAAATAACAATATGCGAGTTTTTTTTTTACATGTATTCAATATTAGATATATTAAATCTGTCCCAGTGCTGTGACCAGTGGGGGTACAGAGGGGGGGGGGGGGGGGTTGTGGCGAGGGGCGGGGACTTAGAAAAATAGAATGCACCCCTAATTGTACCCCCACTTTAATTTCAAAAAAATGTAGAATATGGTTTTTATACGTTTTTGTCGCAAAACATGTCAGAATTCAGAATGCAGCGCCGAATTCATTCTGTATTTCAAAATTTTGTTTGGGGAACCCTCTCCGACGCTCTATGAGAGGCTTGCGACTATGGCGCCTCCACAGAGTGCCGCATTTTGAATCCAGCATCGAAAGTACCCTTCCTCCCTCCATTGAGTCAGTTGCCCTCTATTTGTCCCCGAGTCTCCTGAGGCTGGCACACAACTGATTGCGACGTTTTTAAGGTAAACACGGTATAGATTGAGACTGACAGGATCGCAGGGTTAATTAAGTCGTGTTGTTCTACGACAATACAAGTGATAACCTACAAACATTGAACGTGACCTTTAACCCCTTGGGATATTATTTACTATACTCGTACATACCTAACCTCAATTGACGTTTAACCCTTGTGTCGCCAACAGCATTGCGTACGACCAATACCTTGGAAATTAGGTGATAGCCTATATAAGATACGGATTTTGACTTGCTAGACATTTCATCAAACGGTGTTCTCTGCTCTGTGAAAATTCCATAAGCTTTTTGCTACGGATTCAGCGTTCCGGAATTTGCCGAAAATCAATAAATATCATTTTAAGTGTTGCTGTTGCTCAAGGCATAGGAATAACGTAGAAGTGTACAGATTTGTGAAAATATGTAGAACAATTACATAAAGTGTACATATTTTTTTTGTATGAAAATTTCGTAAAGTGTACCGAAAAAAATTCGTAAAAGTGTACTGGAAAAATTCGTAAAAGTGTACTGAAAAATTCCGTCAAAGTGTATTGAAAAATTCGTAAAAGTGTTTTGAAAAATTCGTAAAAGTGTACGGACAGATTTCGTAAAAGTGTACAAAAGGACATAAAGTGTACTGAAAAAATTCGTAAAAGTGTACAGAAAAATTCGTAAAAGTGCTCGGCAATATTCAACAAGAAGCTTGATTAAGAGTGCTTACCGTATTCAGCGACGCAGCCTATACCGTGCAGTATTCCGTAGACTAGTTTCCATAAACAGTATCCCGTAGGCTTATAGAGTATTCTGTAAGTATTTCCTTTTTGAAGTAGTAATTGTGTTCGCCATTTTGAGTGACGTATTTAGAGCTGGGGTATGGTGTCATGTGACGTCATCAAACACTTAGTTTTAGTGGAATTACCACAGGCGTTTGATTGAAAATTGGAGTGTAAATTGATGCTATCAGTATACGCATAAAACCTCTTTAAAATCCCTTTAAGGTCATCAGACTTTCACATACTGACAGAGATTTGAACCCACGACCACCATGTCCATCCATTGCGTCTGCTAATACTGTGTTTGTTTCTTCATTTCAGGAGTTATAATGATAGCAAAGTTTATCATCGTCTTGACGTACATCACTGCCGCAGTCGTAGCAGTGCCTCCTCGTACCAGATGTACGGTGTGGCCGGATGCACGTGTATCTCCAGGTTATACGTGGCGGGAACGATGCCGAAATTGCACGTGCGTGGAAGGTCAAGGCAGTGTGTGTGATGGACCGACATGTGCGATACCTTACAAACCTTCGCAGGAAATGGTTTGCGGCCGGGTAAGTTTTGAGCTGTTTCTGTTATGCTTGGGTTTAGAAAGGTTTTCTGATCTTTTCGTGTGTGAATGAATGATCAAGGATGACTATTGGACTCATTTCATGTCCACCTCATTGATTTGTCATCTTCAATGATCCAAGATGGCTTTTGGACTCGCGATTTCACGTCTACCTCATTGATTTTATCACCTTGAATGATCCAGGATGATCATTGGACTCATTTCATGTCTACCTCATTGATTGTATCATCTTGAATGATCCACGATAGCATTCGGCAATCCTCGGCAGTTTCCGTAAAGCGGGCAGAACTTTCATGGTAGATCGTTTGCCAAGATTTCTATTGGGCTTCAGGCATCTGAAATTGAGCTCTATCATCTGAACCGTCTTCATTAGCCCACATGGTGCAGAAAAGTAGGACGTAAAACTCCATTCATTTCATACCTATTAGCGGGTAAAGCATATTATTTAGAGCAATCTGTAAAATATTTTTTCAAAACTGAGCTTCTTTGCCTTCCAGTGGTCCACCGATGGGTGTTGCTGCGAGGAGCTCGGCTGTATGAAACACGGGAGGATGTATGGTATAGGAGAGTACTACCCTCGTAGATCCGATAACCCCTGTGATGTGTGCATGTGTTCGGAGATGGGCAACCGGGTGTGTCAGATGACCATGTGTCAGCCAGAATGTGTTGACGGTGTTCGGATACCCGGACAGTGTTGTCCGGCATGTCCTAATGGTAGGTACCATGCGGGTTTTATGGGGAAGTTCGACGTTTTGTATTTGGTATTAATTGCGGCGCCAGCCTCCCGAGACTGGCGGTACAAATAGGCAGACTGACCCCATGGGGGAACTACCAACTACTACGACTACCAACAACTACCTAGTTTGCGATATCAGTATCCGCTGGAAACGAACGTCCCATGGGGGACAACTGTTGCCAGGTTGCCAAAGCCTGCCCATTTCATGTCCAATTTGTGATTCATTTCATTTCAATTTGCAGGGCCTAATTGTGAAATGCCACAACTTAAAACCAACAATAACAAGCCAGTCATGCATGACTATGAATTTTTAACATTAAATGATTACGCTTTAATAACGGACTCCCTGGACGGTTCACAGATGTGGAACTGCACCTGTACGGTAAGTTATAGTGTATCAGGGACACAATTTTCAATCAGACGTCTGTGGTTCCACTAAAACTAATTGTTTGATGACGTCACTAATCCCGAAATATGCTTATATCATATAAGGTACTTTACGATTAGTGACATCATCAAACACTTAATTTTAGTGGAATTGCAGGAACCACAGTTTCGATACCCCTTATTACATCAAGAAACGGGTTTTACATGACACATTTTGATTGGTTAAGAATACTACCATTGGAACGAACATTTAGTAGAAAACTAGTTAGATTACAATGGACACTAAAATATCAAAAAACAAAAAAGATACGAAATTATAATTTAATTTTAGTAAGTTTGGGTTAAGTTATTCCTAGGCCGTCGTTGAAATTCCAGTTGCTATCAAATTCTGCAAAAAAGGACCGACGGTAATGGTTGTTTATTTTTTGCAGGCGGCAGGAGGTGTAGCTCAGTGCAGTCCCCTGAACATCTCACTGGAAAGTTTGTTAACACGGTTTCTATCCAGATTTATGAACTCAGCTGCATAAATTCTATTGATATGTCAAAGGTGTATGAGTAAGATGGTGAACAACCCTTGATACGGAAGCCGTAAGGACGAAAGACACTGAACTCAATGGTGCTACGTCATTATCCAATTTTACTAGTCTAATTAAAATTAGACTAAACTTGCGTTGTTTTTTGTATTAGCTTTTATTTCTAATAAAGCCACTTCAGTTAGGGTCTAAAGACTGGTCTGTTAAACATTCGGCATAATAACCTTTTGACCTAATCTGCTTTAGCCAATCAAATTCCTTCACTCTCTGACAAAATGCAGAGAGCAGAAATTTGATTGGTTAAAGCAAGGTAAGGTCAAAGGGGGTTAAAGGGATTGTAAAGAGGTTTTCTAAATATTGTGTGTATATCAGGAACACTGATAGCATCAATTTGACATCATTCCAATTTTCAATCAGACGTCTGTGGTTCCTGCAATTCCACTAAAAGTAAGCACTAACGTACAAAAGTAGGCCTATATTATTTTTTCAATCTATCACGCAGAACACGTCTCAGGATTTTGCCACTGGCGCTCTTCGGAATTTGTTCCAGGAACTCTACACCACCTCGCAACTTCTTGTGTGGCGCTACACGTTCTGAAAGGAAATAATCGTCAGTATTAGTCACTCCTGTTCGGTGAGTTTTCATACTTTGCGAGTACGCGAACACGCATTTTAAAACCTTATTCACTGAACGTTGGTTTTCATCCAAAGGATGCATTATCCAGTTGAGTTTTCTACATATGAAGTTGTAGACTCTCTGAAAGAACGCCAAGTTGATAAACCCAATCGCAAAGGTACAGAAGGGTGAGCATGAGCGACACTTCCTACAATAAGCATAACGGAAGCTTTGGGAAGTACCATAAGCTCAAAGTCGTGGTACTTGGTCTCAAGAGCTTAAAAGCTGAATTGAAACCTACCAGCAACATAGTTTACAATGTCTTTTTCACTAAGCTTTTGATCCTTCTTGAGCACAACATAAGCTTTGGGGAGCTCCCCGGCATCACTATCAGGAACGCCGATAACTCCTACGTCAGCTATGGACGGGTGTTTGAGTAACAGGGCTTCTAACTCGGCCGGTGCCACCTACAATCATGGGAAATCGATGTTCATCAAGGGTGATGGCTGGTCATTTTGGAATGTGTGGTTCGTCGGATGTAGGTCGGAGGTTCTAGAAAAAAAGGGTCTAGTCATTCTGAAAGGGCAATATGCCGAGTCCTCGTAAGCTACAGACAGAGATCAACAGCAAAGCTGGCTAATGCCACTTTTTGGCTAATTAACAAAACAACAATGCCAGAAAGCAATCACTTTTGTTACGGAATTATAATTTTCTACATCACTTGAGGACGGAAGAATCCGTGAATGGTGTTTCCAAATGAAATAGCGTGACCAAGTAGTTCAGAACTGGGATTGGCCCCAGTTGCAGATTTCTTTGGTCACAGTTTCCTCCCAAAGCTGTCTTCCAAAATCCAGTGTCAGCACCCGAATCTTGCTTCTAATCATGTTCCTTTAACAACGGTGTTCGACGTTGCGAAAGGAACATGTCTTCTTACCTGATGTCCTTTGTATTTAATGAGTTCTTTTATTCTGTCGACTATAAATAGATACCCATCTTCGTCTACATGACCAACATCACCTGAAAGAGGACGAGGAATATAGATCCGGTACTCTTCCCGAAGAGTGTTACTTAATTCTGATTGGTCAATTGTATCAATTCAATAATATCATCCAATCAGAGCTCTAAGTAAGCCCGTGCAAAAGTCAAAACGCACCTGTTCTGGCCCAGCCATCAGCAGTCATCATGGCGGCTGTGACTTCCGGTTGGTTCAGGTAACCCAGCATGATTTGTTCCCCTTTGATACAGACTTCCCCATCAACATTCACGGCGACATCTTTTCCGGTTTCCGGGTTTATAATCTGAAACAGCCCAAAATGAAGCTTATTAACCATGTGGACTCTCAAAAGGTGGTGCAGAGTTGAAACACCTAATCGAAGAGTGATAAGGAACAGTCCATCTTATTCTAATAGGGTCATTGACGTACTTGATAGGTTGTGATGATTGGAGCGATGTTTGATACGATGTAAAGAATATGGCTTCGGCGGTGGGCAATTAGAGAATCTAGGGTAGAATGTTGTGCAAAACACACCCAGTTTTCATGCCGTTCCTCCGGCATGCATTACTGACTTTTTCGGGTATTTCGTTAGTTATTTTTTTTAAAACCGGGCCATACCTTTTGTTTGATACCTTCCAAAGGTTGTCCTACAGAATGAGCTTTGTGGTTTTCTTCTGTGTCCAAGTGTGTGACCATTACTTCCGTCATACCATAACCTGGAACAAAATAACCGGAAGTGACTCCACAGTTTAGAGATACAATAATAACCGGAAGTGACCCCACAATCATAAGTTACAATTAAAACCGGAAGTGATCCCACAATTAAAAGCTACAATAATAACCGGAAGTGACCCCACAATTAAAAACTACAATTAAAACCGGGAGTGATCCCACAATTAAAAGCTACAATAATAACCGGAAGTGACCTCACAATTAAAAGCTACAATAAAAAGCGGTAGTGACCCCACAATTAAAAGCTACAATAATAACCGGAAGTTAACCCGCAATTAAAAGCTACAATGTCAACCGGAAGTGACCCCACAATTAAAAGCTACAGTAATAACCGCAAGTGACCCCACAATTAAAAGCCACAATAATAACCGGAAATGACGTTTAAATTTCAAACTTTATTTTCATCCTACTCCATTAAAAAACTTCCTGCAATAACCGGAAGTGACGACGTATAAATTTGATCGGAACTATTATAGTCATTCTTCCCATCAAATAAAAGGAATTGATGTAACCGGAAGTGGTAAAACAAAGTTTTAGACGGCTATACCCCTTTAAAGTAATATATTAAATCACCTTACCTTGGCTAACGTAAGGAATTTTGAAAATCTCCTTGACTTCACATTCAATATTGATACTTAAAGGGGCTGCCCCGCACACAACTTTTCGTACACAAGTCAAGTCGTAATTTTTGGTTTCTGGTAGTTTTGCTAGTAGAACCATCACAGGCGGCACCAGATGTAACACTTTAATCTGTAATAACGACAAGTTTGATTGGTCGAGTATTTAGTATTCGACCAATACGATTCGATTTTGTAACAAAATATTGGCCGATATTGGATGACCCAAATTATTGAAACTAAGTAATAATTCATTAAACTAAGTAATGATTCATTAAACTAAGTAATAATTCATTAAACTAAGTAATAATTCATTAAACTAAGTAAAAATCCATTAAACTAAGTAATTTTGAAAGATGCTAAGAAGATTCCACATTGGATGTTACCTGATGTTTCTGTATGGCCTCCATGAAAGGAACCGGCTGGAACCGGGACACTAATACCATCTTGGAACCACAAGTCAGTGCCGAGCTCAAGATGGCTACCAGACCATACAGGTGGAAGAATGGCAGAAACACCAGCACGGAATCGTCTTCGAGTATTTTCATGGACCTGTAAGATATAATGGTGTTAGTTGGTTCTAATATCGGTCGGCATTTTAAGGTCTGGAGACCTTGAAAAGTCACCTTTCATCATTATTCCAGTCAACCAAGCTGTAAATGGGTACAGATAATCTGGGAAAGATCAATGCTAAGAGGTTTGGTCACGGACCAGCTGGTAGAAAGGATCCTCATTATTCCAGTCAACCCAGCTGTAAATGGGTACAGATAATCCGGGTGAGATCAATGCCAAGGGGTTTGGCCAAGAACCAGCTGGTAGAAAGGATCTTTATTATTCCAGTCAACCAAGCTGTAAATGGGTACAGATAATCCGGAAAAGATCAATGCCAAGAGGTTTGATCAAGGACCAGCTGGTAGAAATGATCCTTATTATTCCAGTCAACCCAGCTGTAAATGGGTACAGATAATCCGGAAAAGATCAATGCCAAGAGGTTTGATCAAGGACCAGCTGGTAGAAAGGATCCTCATTATTCCAGTCAACCCAGCTGTAAATGGGTACAGATAATCTGGGTAAAATCAATGCCAAGAGGTTTGGTCAAGGTCTCAAGGATCAGCTGGTAGAAATGATCATGTCATTCTTGTAAAACGATTCTTTCTTTCGTTTGTAAGACACGGAGACTTACCGGAGCTGTACCAGATTGGCTATTAGATTATACTGAGTTAACATGACTGCCTTTGGTAACCCGGTGGTCCCGCTAGAGAACAACAGGCATGCCACAGTTTTCTTTGGATCAAAATCTGCTTTTGGCAGTTTGAGTCCATCCTTAGATGACTTAACCAAGCTATCGAATGAGACGCATCCTTCTGGACTTGCGCCAATTACTATGATTTTCTGGAATAGAAAGCATCAAATTAAACTCTCCCCCTGTTTAAATCCTGTTCCTTCTAGAGCATTATATAAAATTAGAGCACAACGGAAGTAATTGTTTTGAAACCGGAAGTACTCCCTCTACGATGTAACATTGCATTGTATTTTAAAACCGGAAGTTAATGCTACAAGTTGATGGTTCTTTTGGCTTAACCCATAGTCCGCAGTAACCGGAAGTAAATCTTATGAAACAGGAAGTTCAACCATCATGGTTTTACTAATCGATGCCTTTTATACCTATTGCGTACAGTGCGTAATACGGTAACGTTGTAGCCGGAAGTTAATCTTAAGAAACCGGAAGTACACCCACCTTGATGCTCTTTGTCGACGCTTCCTTGATTTTGTCCACAAAAGGTGGAAGTGTGATGACATATCTGGTGTTACACTGAACGAACTGCGTCTGAAGTTCACCTGAAAATTCAACAGTATAGTAGTTCCATCTGCACTCCGGGGCGTTATTAGAAAATTAGAGGGGTAGGGGACCAAATGTGACAGGTGTCTCTCCGAGGCGAGGCCCGATGGGCGGAAACCCCTTGAGACCTGGAGACTGCCAGAGGACCCAGAAGTCAACGGATTGTAGTGCTGACACCCACCTGTCGTATATAAGGGGTTCGTGGCCTGTAACGTGGCTCCGAAAGACGTCAGGGCGAAGAAAGCCACGGCATAATCTATGTTGTTGGTAGAGAAGATGCACACCACGTCGCCTTGCTGTACACCCAGATCTCGGAATCCATGAGCTGCTTTGATTACCAGTGTCTTCAGGTCTCCGTACGTCACTCTTCTGTCTGTATCCAGTTCTACCTGCAAATAGTGGTGTGAAGGGTAAACGAAATGGAGTTTTACGTCCTTTTGCTTCATCCTGGTCCTAATGAAGACCATCGTGTACAAACCACATCCCCATTCGTCATACTCAAAGACAATATTCAACCCGTAGTCGGGATACGATGATTGAAGGTGGGTCATGCCATAAGGAAGTTTTATTGATTGACTCTATGATTTCGGATCTGGACGCATCACCATCTCTTGTGCATAGTCGAATACCAGGAAGCATCGATTCCCATCTGTCCAGGGATCTTTAGCAGACAGAGTCTATTGTACAAGGAGTCGTGATATTTTTGTCCTGTCCTAACGACTAGAGGCTTTTTCCATGTCATCCCCTCAGACCTGCGGAACTGAAGGTTGGATCGATTTGACAAATTTGATTTTGATTTGGTTTCATCTCGAACTATATGACGGAAACTACCGCGAACTCCAAGGCATTGAATTAGACACAGTTCTCGACTTTAGTTGGTTTTGTGTCCGAGATCAAGGACATGTGTCAAGGTATGCCTAGAGAAGCGAACGATAAGACAAAGCACACTTACCAAAGCGACGTTTTTTGAATATTTGTCAAAGTAGCCAAACATGTATTCAGTAAACGTTCCATTTGGGTACGCCATATCGCTGTCTGAAAATAGAATCATGTTATAAAAACACCATGGTCTAATTAAGATTAGCCCAAACTTTCGTTCCTTCTTTTATAATCTTTCATATTTAGTTTAGCGTTCGTCAAAATAACCTTTTAACCTACCCCTGCTTTTAACCAATCAAATGTCTGCCCTCTCCCGCGCTGGTATTTTGTGAGAATGAAGGCATTCGATTGGTTAAAGCAAAGGTCATCAGGTTCAATAGACCAGTCTTAAGACCCTAATTGAAGAGGCTGTACTAAATATGAAAGCTAATAAAAACGGGTGTGTCAAATCGGCAACCCTGTGTGAGAGTCCACTATGAACATTATTGTGTTTAAGATTGAAGCCGGAAGTCACGCTGTGCATTATAGATCTTTGCTCGACTTTACGAAAGAAATGCATATGAATATATCAGTTTATAAGCTTTGTCATGCAACAAGTTTAAAGGGTACATGCCACATAGAAAAAAAGTACCTTCTCACTGATTTCAATGAAGTGGGGTTCTATAGCATGACGTCATTTGCTTGGTTACGTCAAATAGGCTACGTCAAACACGTTCGTTGTCGTGGGTTCTTATCTAAGTCGGTTTGTGAAAGTTTAGTGATCTTGAATAAGTTATTTTGTCCTCGTTAATGCAGTCAACCCAGCTGTAAATGGGTACAGATAATCCGGGAAAGATCAATGCCAAGCGGTTTGGCCAAGGACCAACTGGTAGAAAGGATCCTTGTGAACCTAAATGATTGTCCTTGTAAAATATAGTTGTTTCTTTCTTAATGGTGAGGACGTTTCGCTTTAATGCATATTGTTAAGTATATGAATGTGATTAACCTACTTAAAGATGGGTTCCCTTGTTTCTATTTATGAAAATGAAAATGCTAATACTTATATGAAAAGAAAGTAGATGTGTTCTAATGACTTGGAAAAATACCAGTTTGTCTCACATGTTCATAATTAATTCATAATTAACTAAATTAGAAGAGAATTACCAGCAGAATTCCAATGAGTGACCGATCAAGAAAGGTCAAAAAGTCTTTTTTTCGTTTATCCAGACTGTACATACATGGACATTTATGATTGGTTAAAACTCTTAATTATATGCAATAAGAACATAATGATATGATTAAGAATACATGATAATTCATTAGAAACAATAGTTTGCTTAATTTGACACTAAAAAATAAGGAAACCCATCTTTAAACGAAAAATACTGTTTTTATGACCGTTATATATTTTGATTCATACTGGGCATTAAAGAGATAGTAAAGAGGTTTTCTTAATTTTTTATGTGTATCAAGGACACTGATAGCATCAATTTACACCATTCTTATTTTCAATCAGACGTCCAATACCTCTAAAACTTAGCGTTTGATGACGTTACTATCGCATAGATCCTCAAATATTATTAGCAAATATTGCGATAGTGACGTCATCAGACACTTAGTTTTAGTGGAATTGCAGGAACCACAGACGTCTGATTGAAAATTGGAATGGTGCAAATTGATGCTATCAGTGTCCCCGATACACATTAAAACACATACAAAGTTTGGAAAACCACTTTACGATCCTAAGCACAATTGCTTTAGTTACTTATTGGACATTGCCTTAAGTCTCAGAATTGCTTAATCCTTACCGTCTTCAAGAGGTTTCAAGACTGTTTTGAAGAATCGCCGGCCTATCCTTACCTTATACAACCAAACAAGCACAACTGTCGATTTTAACTGACTTTAAGAATATGTAGGTCTTATAATTGAATATAAGTAACGTTCTTTGATATTATAACCGTTCGGAATTATACTCACGTACAGCAATATTAATAGCCTCGATTATTTTGCGAAGTTGGTCAATGTGCAGTATTCGAAGTGGACTATGCAAATAGACTCGGTTATTGAGTATAGTGTTGACTTTGTATTTTGGAACAATAATAGTCGAAATGGACAATTTTGTGCTCTAGTGTGCACTGGACAACCAAATAGTCTCGGTTGTTGAGTAGGCTACAGTGGTGACTTTCTCATACGAGTAGTAGTAGTCGAAGTGAACAATGTAAATAGTCTCGATTATGTACTCAATTGCCTAATGAGTGCCTAATGAGCAATTGTCGCACTGGACAACTAAATAGACTAGGTTATTATGTACTCGATTAGTCAATGAGCAGTAATCGAATTGGACAATGTAAATAGACTCGGTTGATGAGTACAGTTTTGACTTTCTAATATGAGCAGTAATCGAAGTAGAAGAATCGAATACGAGCCGGGCTAGCCCCATTTCTGGGGAGGGTATGGTAACGCCACTGATAAAATATGAAAGTATTGGATTAAGGGGAGACAATACATGTATCTAATTTATCAGACTACTAATAAATCAATTTACGCGATTGATGCTCAGGCACCTTTTTATAAGAGTCTGCACATCTGATCCTGATGCACCATTTCATTTTTGTGGGGGTGGGGGGGGGGGGGGGGGGATTTGAGTCTTGAATATATGTAAATAGTCTTCAGAAGTACTGGGAATGTACGAAAATCACATAATTCCTTCAAAATACTTCAAACTAGGAATTTTACTCACTATTTCTATAGATATCTTTTCTATATATCACAGAGTATCTTAAATTGACGAGTCGTCATCTTAACATTCAAACGGCGATAATTCTGGACACACATGGATTTGAAGGCTCAAATTTCGAAAGTGAGCTGTGGACACTATTACCGATTGGCTCAGCCCGAAGTCCGATATTGGAAAGTTGAGCTCTATTTCCAAAACGAGCTGTCCTGATGAGGAACTTATACCTTAAACACGTGTAAGCAACAATTACTCAAGTATATGCATATACGCGAAAGAATTACGAGTGAGTGCGTTCCCAAAGTCTGCTCTTAACGAACCAGTAATCGAACGCGCCTATGTTCTGAAAACATCTATGGCTTTAAGTAGCAAAGTTTATTGAATTTTAGAAGTAGCAATAGATCATATTTTCATACAAAATTACAATAAATTCTCTCAGTCATTAACCCTCTTGACGAGAAATTAAACGCTAAATCGATATCCATATCAACCAATCGTAGCCAAGCTTACATCGAGTCGCAACCAATCAATAAGCTTCTCTCATTTTGACGTCGGTATTGGTTTTAAAGATTCGCGCGCAGTATGGAACAACAAGCCTATAGTCAGAAGCAAGCCACACCTGGCAATTTTCGCTAGGCTTTGAAGTTTACCTGTCTAACGAATGCTTTCGGAGTAACGAATTTTTTTTAACGAATTTTGGCGAATGCTTAAAGGTAAGTCTGTCTTTTTTCGAATATTTCGTTAATATCTTTGCCAATTAGAATTGGTTTTGTCTTACAACTGACCAATTACCGAGCTAGTTAGATCGTAATGAATGAATGAATGAATGAATGAATGAATGAATGAATGAATGAATGAATGAATGAATGAATGAATGAATGAATTGACGAACGTACGAACGAACGAACGAACGAACGACGAACGAACGAATGAATGAATAACATTGAGAAATTTTGTCACATTCTTGAATTGAAATGGAGTTTTACGTCCTATTTTTAGGTACCTTAATTTGGCCATTGAAAACAGGCAACGCCATGCAGTGTGTAATGGGGAAAAGTGACAGTATTTAAAATTGACATACTGCGTGTCTATTTAGTCAGTCGTGAAATGCAAATTAATTTCGTCTTTATTCAACTTGTGATTAAAATGATAAAACTGATTAACAATGCTTCACAAAAATTCCTTTTAGTTTAGTCATTTTACCTTCAAAGACAGAATGATTAAAGGGTGCTTCCCACTTAGTTTTTGAGCAAATGGGCATTTTGTTTTGTATGATCAAGATTTTAACGAAATAGTTGTTCATCTTTAACTAATTCATCTATTCCATCATCATTATGTATTTGCTCTTAATAATCATTATTATTATCATCCGAATAATCATCATCATCATCATCACCATCAGTTTGATTAGCAAAATTATCATCATCAATAGGTATCCAAAGTTCTTCATCATCGTCACCATTTTCATCATTATCATCTATAGGGATTAAAGTTCATCATTATCATCGTCGTCGCCATTATCAATAGGTATCCAAAGTTCATCATCATCATCATCATCATCATCATCATCCATTAGGTATCTCAAGTTCATCATCGTCATCAATAGGTATCCAATGGTCATCATCATCATGACCATCATCCATTAGGTATCTCAAGTTCATCATCGTCATCAATAGGTATCCAATGGTCATCATCATCATCACCATCATCCATTAGGTATCTCAAGTTCATCATCGTCATCAATAGGTATCCAATGGTCATCATCATCATGACCATCATCATATATAGGTATAGAAAGGTCATCATCATCTATAGATATCAAAAGCTCATCTTCCATTAGGTTCTGCATTTTATCCATGGGAACACCCCTTTAACGATCTACACATAGTGTCCATAGGAATAACAAGGAATGTTTTATATGGAGAGGTAGTGTGCAAAAACTTGATCAAACTGAATTTGTTTTAAAAGGGTTAATTAAAAACAGAGAGTACTAATTGTTAATTAAGCAGTTTGACCTTGTTTTGGTAATTTGGTTTTATAATGGCTCGATATTATTAGTTGAAATCTTTAGAATACGTAGAAGATATATTTCTCTACAATTAGGCGTTTATTTTCCTCAAATCCGTACAGTAGTTTTCTAACAGCTTTCAAAAAACATAACGAACTTAAAAACCTTACGTAATGTTTTTAAAATATTTTTGGCGCTAGAAAATTAACGAGTGGATTTTTTTAGTTAAACCTTTCAGATACGCTAAAAGGGGACATTTCTCTACATTTTGGTGTATACTTATCGTAAATTTGAGCGAAAAAAAATTTGACATAAAAAGGGGGAATGCCCCTTTAACACTGTAAGAATTGCGCTCATTGGAATAATAATCAAAACCTGAAGCCATTAACCTATATACTGCAACACATTGCTAAATAATTTGAACTGGCTGTTTTTGTTTTCTGTTCTCAATAAGTATATTGATTATTCAAATTTTAATTCAGTCGTTTTGTCGTAACAGAATCTACAAAACGATTGACTTACACGACAGAGGTGCTCGATTTGTTGTTCTTCTGCATTCGAGGCTATTACTGATTGTTGGGGGCGAGGTCTGAGGTCTGACATAGAATAAAGGCGTTTAGTCGTTTGAATGCCAATTTCACCTTCTATTTCTATATATATCAGAATCTCATAAAAAGACGAGTCGTCATTTTAAGTTTCAAACGTGGATAATTCTAGACACACATGGATTTGAAGACTCAAATTTTGACAGTGAGCTGTGAACACTATTACTGATTGGCTTAGCTTTAAAATTCCTGTTTCTGAGACTAAGGTACGATTGGTCAAATGAGGATGGTTAACCTGTCTCTTTAAGGAGGTTGACATGGAAATGGCGTCTTCGGGTTCAGATGAGTGTATTACAGGCTGTGTATGTGATAGAGATCTCGACAGTTGGGAAATGAAGTTAGTTATGTCTCTACCCTGGCACAATTTCCCTCATTGCACACCCAGGGGCCGAACGAAAATGAACCATACCCCTTCAAATGTAAACTATTTTTACGTCTCCGGCACTCCCTTAATGCAACTGTAAGGGCCCAATGGACGGACGTAGACCAAAAAAATCTGCCTCCAGTCTCTGATAGCTTTTTTGAAAATTGTTAAACTGTCATAATAGCGATCTGGAGCTGGAATAGAGGTAGATGTTTCTGACAATAATGGACACTGGTCAAATGAAACGCCTTCACACATTCCAGGGTCGTAGGTTCAAGAAATCGCCCGGCCCGTATTCATGTATCATTTCATTAGGACGAACCTCTTTTGTCTCTCGACACGTAGATACTTCCCAAAATAGCACCCAGGGCGGTTCTGGTGATGACGTCACACTATGACTTTCCTCACTATTAGAATACTAAAAGGCGGGAAAGAGTATATTTGTGTTGTTTACATTCGCCAACGTACCTCAGTCGGGTTTTTGGACCACATTTTGTACAGGTTTAGTCTCGACAGTCTAATTAAAATTTTTCGATTTATAGCTTTTATTTTTAATATAGCCACTTCAGTTAAAGTCTAACGACAGCCCTCTCGAACGTTCATTAAATTAACCTTTTGACTTTTGAGAGTCCACATAGCCTACAATTTTCAGTGGGTTTTTATGTGAACTTCGAGTCTTATTTGGAATATCATCTTGATATTTTCATTAAGTTTCCATGGGTTACTTCACCCACACTAGATCTGACAGCATTCTTCTGAGATTGTGTACCATGGGTTCGAGTCCTCCTCAAGGTAAGAAAAATTATGATGACTGTACCAGTGCTTCCTTCATCACCACCTAATACCTACATTTCATGTGGTCACGTGATAAACCCCTTATATAACCAGATCATTCGATTGGTTAATTTTCTGAACATAACTTCTTTAAGAATGTTTACAGATCGTAGTAAGCACGAAGTAACAAAAAAATCAAAAAAAACCAAACGAATTCTTGAGCTGTATTTTTATCAGATTAAAAAAAAATTCGATGACATTTTTGAACGAAATTTAACTCTACGTCCCGAATGTTTGTCTTAGTCACCGTAGTAACGAAAAGCTTTTAAATTCAAATTTCCCATTTTAGTCATAAGGAATATTCGAAACAAATGTGTTTTATTCGGAAGAGTTGTTAAATGCCATTGTTCGAATTTTCGATTTCAATAACCGAAATTTGCATTAAGGAAAAGTTGAAAAGGCGTCTTTGAAGTGTTTTGGGGACAAAACGTTTTTGTATTGTACACAAGGATATTTGTCAATTCGGTGTCATCTTGAACATTAGAATATCTGTGTTAAATATTTTGTATATTTTTGTATAACGGTGAATTTATTTTGTATTTAGTGGATATCATAACTTAGAAGTGGGCATTTATTCTCAATATTTGTGGATATGTCTTCGAGGTATATGTCATGCTTGATATTTTCTGGGTTTTTTTAAATTTGGGATATTTTTAAATTTGGGATTTTTTTAAAAATTTGGGATTTTTTTAAATTTGGGATTTTTTTAAAAATTGGATTTTTTTAAATTTGGGATTTTTTTTAAATTTGGGATTTTTTTAAATTTGGGATTTTTTTAGATTTGGGATTTATTTTCTAAGTAAATTGAGATATTTTGTTTTAAATAAGAATTGTGCCTTTAATTGGGATTTGTTTTAATGGGATTTTTAGTCTTTTAATTAGGAATTGTGCCTTTAATTGGGATTTTATAATTGGGATTTGAATTTTAAATTTGGTATTTTTTAAATTTGGGATTTTTTAAAATTATGATTTATTTTCTAAGTAAATTGGGATATTTTGTTTTAAATAAGAATTGTGCCTTTAATTGGGATTTGTTTTAATGGGATTTTTAGTCTTTTAATTAGGAATTGTGCCTTTAATTGGGATTTTTTAATTGGGATTTTTTAATTGGGATTTTTTCAATTAGGAATTGTGTTTTTAATAAGTATTTTTGATTTGGGATCTTTTGTTTTAAATTGGACATATATACTTAAAATTCCGATTATTTATTATTTTTTCTTTAAAGTGGGATTTTTAATTAGGATTTTTTTAGTTTGATTGAGTTCTGGGATTTTTTAGTATCAGATTTTGGGAATTGTTGGTTTTGTATATATTCAGTTTAAAGTTCGAAGTTTGGTTAGGGGTTAGGTAGAAAGTAGATTTTATTTTTTTTCTGAATTTTGTCATTTTGGTTTCAGTTACTACAACAAAGTCAACACAAACGCTGGACAAAGAGTGTGCGTGATTTTCTTTTAATTTTCATTTTTCATTTATTTGTGACTTCCATATTTTCATTTGTGACTTCCATATTTTCATTTCTGACTTCCATATTTTCATTATTGATTTCCATATTTTCATCATTAGCTTCCATTTCCATTTAATTTTCATTTCTGACTTCCATATGTTCATTTCTGACTTCCATATTTTCATTTTTGACTTCCATTTTTTATTTTTAGCTTCCAATTCTATTCAGTTTTCATTTCTGACTTCCATATTTTCATTTCTGACTTCCATATTTTCACTTCTTATTCAATTTTCATTGTAGCTTCTATTTCTTATTCAATTTTCATTGTAGCTTCTATTTCTTATTTAATTTTCATTGTAGCTTCCATTTCATATTCAATTTTTCGACAGTTAGCTAAATCTTTTCGTAACTGTTTCACAAAATTCGTCAATTCTAACGTAAACAGCCTTGAGATTTGAAAATTTAAACAGAAAGAATTCAGTGTATGTTTCACACGTGTAGGTTTCAAGTGGTTGACTATTTAAACACTAGGCGAAAAATAAAAAGTAAATTTCCGTTTTTTCTGACTCATTAGAATATATATTTTTCTATTTAAAGGGACGAGGTCGCCGTCCTTTGGACCAATCGTACCTTAGTCTCAGAAACGGGGATTTTTTAGCTAAGCTAATCAGTAATAGTGTTCACAGCTCACAGTCGAAATTTGAGCCTTCAAATCCATGTGTGTCCAGAATTATCCACGTTTGAAAATTAAAAAGACGAGTCGTCATTTCTTGAGACAATACATGTATTTACTCATCTACTTCTCTCGACACACGTTTCGGATACACAATCCTTATCAGGTCAGCTAGTTGTAGAAAATGGGGATTAAATTTATCATAATGAACTCGATTGAGTTTTTCAAACCAATATTCGTTTCAGAGTGTTCACATAGCTGATAATTTTATGTAGACATTGCTCTCGACATGAGTTTCTGCTACACAATCCTCATCAGGGCAGCTAGTTTTAAAATTTAAGTTAACTTTCTTAAAATGAACTTGGTATTCGTTTCAGAGAGTCCACATAATAATAATATTATGTAGACAAATTGACCACAGCTCGCCCCATGCTCTCGACATGGGTTTCGGCTACACAATCCTCATCAGGACAGCTAGTCTTTAAAATAGGGGTTAACTGTACTTTGGTAAGCGAATCTATTGAACAGTTGCGAGAAAGGTCGTAGCGGTATCGATTAACCCCCTACTGCTGATGTTATCGGGCTGATATGAGAGATAGGGTTAATTAGTCAAGTTATTGTTAGAAAGTTCATTTCCTTAATTGGTATCACGGATTCTAATTTTGGACTTTTTATAATTAATTAGATCTAATTAGATACACAGGCGAGAAAATTGCGAAATAATAACGATACGTCATCATGACGTAATCAAAGGTGTGTGCAAGAAACAGATGCGACTCTGTATTCGGTATTTTTGGTGATACATATCACAAAATGGTTAATTTAAAGGGACAGATGCGCCATTTTTTGACCAATCGTACCTTAGTCTCAGAAACAGGAATTTTTAGCGTAGCTAATCAGTAATAGTGTTTACAGATCACTGTCGAAATTTGAGCTTTCAAATCCATGTGTGTCTAGAATCATTATCATTTCATTTTTTCATTTCATTTCACAACTTTTTCAGCTTCATGCAAAACTCAATTTCATTTCATAAGGCTTTCTTTTCAATTTCATTTCCCACTGGGTTCTTGCATTAAGAAATACAGTCTAATTCATTTCATACGAAGTAAACTCCATTTCATTTCATTTCATTCCTCGGAAAGATCCATTTCATTTCATTTCATTCCTCGGAAAGATCTATTTCAATTCATTTCATTCCACGGAAAGATCCATTTCAATTCATTTCATTCCACGGACAGATCCATTTCAATTCATTTCATTCCTCGGAAAGATTCATTTTAATTCATTTCATTCCTCGCAAAGATTCATTTCAATTCATTTCATTCCACGGAAAGATTCATTTCAATTCATTTCTTTCCACGGAAAGATCTATTTTAATTCATTTCATTCCACGGAAAGATCTGTTTCTATTCATTTCATTCCTCGGAAAGATCTATTTCAATTCATTTCATTCCTGGGAAAGATTCATTTCAATTCATTTCATCCCACGGAAAGATCTATTTCAATTCATTTCGTTCCTCGCAAAGATCTATTTCAATTCATTTCATTCCTCGCAAAGATCTAGTTTAATTCATTTCATTCCTCGGAAAGATTCATTTCAATTCATTTCATTACTCGGAAAGATCCTTTCCAATTCATTTCATTCCACGGAAAGATCTATTTCATCTTAGAAGGCATTCTTGAAATATTTTTATTCTACTTTCGTTTCGTTTTTTTCAGTGAATCAGAGAACATGTGTTCGTCTATGAAGAGTTTTCTCAAATTTTTAATCTTAGCTGTAAATATTCCCATCTTGGTAAGTATCGTGTTTTGATCCTTATCCCTTTCTGTATTCTAAAACAGGTGTCTAGGTGCGAAAAAACCATATAACAGGGCATAGTTTTTCTGTCTCTACACCAGCCGACAACTTTCAAAATAGCTATCAGAGGCCAGAGTAAATGCTTCAGTCTACCCCTTTTATAATCATGCGGTATGAGAATTTTACTAGACCTGGGTCGGCCTATGTTCCGTTAATTTTTATTAGCTTTTAGTTATGATATAGCTACTCCAGGGAGGGTCTAACGGCAGCCCTTTTGAACGTTCGTCAAATTGACCTTTTGACCTTATATACCCAGCTCTAACCAATCAAATTTACGCCGTCTCCAGCGTTGGCGTTTTGTGAGAGATTGAAGGGATTTGATTGGTTAAAGTAGATGTCATCAGATTAGGTCAAAGGATTATTTTGACGAATGTTCAAATAGTCCAGTCGTTAGACCCTACTGTGAGGTGGCTACACTAAAAATAAAAAATAATAAAAACGAAACGAAAGTTGGTCTAATTCCTTTTCTTTTCAGATTGTCGGTCTAGTATCATTAGGAACTGGAATATGGGTGGTAGTTAACGAAGACAGTTTCTTCAGTACCTATAGCTATATAGTCGACTTTACAGTCATCGACCGCGAGTTCATACGAGAGGGGGCTATCGTGCTTCTATCATGCGGTGCAGCAACTGCACTCTTTGCCTTGATTGGCATCGCTGCAGCTCGCTCGAACTCGACTTACCTATTGGGCTTTGTAAGTATACACTTTCATTTTTAGAAAGAATTTCCCTCATTGCATATGGCATAGTGTCATTATTGCAGCGTTTCTCTTATTGCGTCCGGGCAAAATTTCCCTCATTGCACAGTGTAGCTGGCTCAAACTCAACTCAACTCAAATTTACCCCTCATTGTACACTGCTTGGAGTCTATCCTTGAAAGCCACGTTTTTTGCAACTACAAATATTTTGAATCTTAACTACCGTACCTTAGCAAAGTTTCCCTCATTGCACACCATTTTAGCCCAATGATTAAAGACAAAAAGACGTAAAACTTCAGTTGATTTCATTTCTTTTTTCTTCAGTATGTTATAATGATTTGTTTCCTAATCGCAGTCGAAGTCGCAGCCGTAACGTTAGGAATAATCTTTAAGGAACGGGTAAGTTATAGCTAAGCAAGAGAAACGCCCAAAATTTGCAAGGATAACAACTTTGGTTCACGGGGATCCTTTCTACTAGCTGGTCCTTGACCAAACCTCTTGGCATTGATCTTTCCCAGATTATCTGTACCCATTTACAGCTGGGTTGACTGGAATAATGAGGATCCTTTCTACCAGCTGGTCCTTGACCAAACCTCTTGGCATTGATCTTTCCCAGATTATCTGTACCCATTTACAGCTGGGTTGACTGGAATAATGAGGATCCTTTCTACCAGCTGGTCCTTGACCAAACCTCTTGGCATTGATCTTTCCCAGATTATCTGTACCCATTTACAGCTGGGTTGACTGGAATAATGAGGATCCTTTCTACCAGCTGGTCCTTGATCAAACCTCTTGGCATTGATCTTTCCCGGATTATCTGTACCCATTTATAGCTGGGTCGACTGGAATAATGGAATCCTTTCTACCAGCTGGTTCTTGATCAAACGTCTTGGCATTGATATTCAAAATTATCCTGCGTTTGGAAATGGTTTTTGTAGGGTGTAAAACTTCATTTTGTTTCATTTTTTTTCAGTGGGAAAGTCAACTTGATAATAATGTATTATTGAAGATAAATAATACTTATAATGAAGACGACGCGAGTTCTTTCACCTCCTCCCTGAAGTTATTACACCAGAATGTAAGTGTCAGTCAATTTTGTTCCTCCTACTTCTCGATCTTGCTCCCTCCCTCTTTCCTATTTTGCCCATCCCGTTTTTATTTTTCACTCTCCGTGACTTTTGATCTACCCTCCTGACTTTTTGGTCTGCCCTACTTGACGTTTTGGTCTGCCCTACTTGACTCTTTGGCCTGCCCTCCTTGACTTTTGGCCTGCCCTCTTTGACTCTTTGACCTGCCCTCCTTGACTTCTTGGCCTGCCCTCTTTGACTCTTTGACCTGTTCTCTTTGACTCTTTAGCCTATCCTTCTTGACTCTTTGACCTGCCCTCTGTCACACTTATGCCCGCCCATCTTCATTCTTTGACTTTTACTAGGCACACACAATACATGCTACAATATTCTATTTTAATGTATTATGGAAGACAACTCTAGCCAAAATACACTCAACCTTTTAAGAGCTTCTTCCAAAAATTCCATTTTACTGTATTATGGAAGATAACTCATGCCATAATTCATTTGGTTTTTTTCAGGAGAAATGCTGTGGGTGGAGAAATGCTTCCGATTTTATGTATGCAACTAATTGGAACAAAACTTTAGAAAATGGCGACGAAATGGTCGTGCCGAAAAGCTGCTGTTCCAGTGAAAATGTGACAGAAATGCTTCTTTGTTCATTGAACCCCAGTGTGAACAATTCGTACATAGCAACGGTATGAACATTTCATTTAGATTAGTCCGAAAAACTCCAATCAGGAACAATTTCGTTTCTTGATAACTATGACGAATTATGGGATAGGCGAAACCTTAAGTAGGGCAATATGACAGGTAGCTATTGCAGTCAAGGTATAAGACGTAATAGTTTGATAGCTTCTTTTGGTTTCACTAACCAACATTTCGTCCCTGGTGTAAAGAAACGGTTTCTACATGACACACTTTGATTGGTTAAAAAATAATGTCACAAGAACATGACTACAGAAGAAAACTTGTTAGATTACAGTGGAGATAAAAACTCTATGCAGTGTCGCAATATTACAATCACGTGACAAACGAATGGTAAATCGTCAAAGAACTTCATCTTATACCTTGACTGTAATAGCCACCTTTATTGTATCACGGAATGCAGTGATTTGATTGGATTGTATGCCAGTGAATACAGGCAATCAGAGTCCTCCGTAGAAAAACTGCAAATATTATGGCTTAGTGCTTTCTGTTGAGGCCTCTGATTGGCTGTATTCGCTAGCGTACAATCCAATCAAATCGCTGCATTTACAAACGTCGGTGATACATGAAAGGTAGCTATTGCAGTCAAGGTATAAGACTAAGTTCGTATTAGTTTGATATTGTAAAGATGAAATGGCCTTTAACCACTTTAAATATGTATTACTATTATTTTTAGGGTTGCAAGGCAGCTGTAGAAAAAGTATTCACAGATTATCAAGGCATAGTGATAGGACTTGGCGTCTGTATTCTCGTTCTAGAGGTAGGTCTAAAGAGTTATCTCCCTTAAAGAGATTGTAAAGAGGTTTTCTTAAAAAATGTGTATCGGGACACTGATAGCATCAATTTGTACCATTCCAATTTCCAATCAGACGTCTGTGGTTCCTGCAATTCCACTAAAACTAAGTGTTTGATGACGTCACTAATCGCGAAAGCCTTGATACAAGCATATTTTACGATTTGTGACGTCAAGGACCGTATCCTTTAGCGTACAATCCAATCAAATTACTGCATTTACTAACTTCGGTGATACAAGAACATTATAGTCAAGGTATAAGACAAAATTCGTAATACCTTGGCCATTGTGAAGATGAAGACGCCCCCCCCCCCCTTTTTTTTCAAATGACGTAAAACTCCCTTCCATTTATTTCAGATGTTGATGGTCATGGTTGCCGTGTGGTTATTAACTCACGCAGTTAAAAATAAATATGATTTGAACTAACAACGACGCCAGTACATTCCAATTTTAACATAACGCCATTTTCATCGTTTTTTTTTTCTTCAAAATTTCATCTTAAATTCTTCAGATCCGTTTTTAGAAATTCGTCGGTGTTATTCGGTATTAGTCGTAAAACAGTCGTAAACCCTTCGACTTATTCCGGACATCTCCGTCAACCAGCTATGTCTCGATATCACATGATCCACTGCAAACAGTCTACCGTGGAAGTTCCACTTGCGTTGATTTTCAACTTTACGGAAACTGCCGAGGATTTTCGAATGAGCCCACCGCAAAATTTCCGGAAGCGATCTACAATTTTTCGGAAACCACCGAAAGTTTTCGAACACATTTGTT